AAATACTCCCTAGGCTTAGTAAAAATTCAATATGAGAGTGGGGTTCTCAATGAGCATCTATTCCTTGATTTTCCACAAGAGCATAGATTTTCTTCTGGATTAATGATGTTGGAATATGAAAAAAGCAGTTCAAGAGTGTGTTTACGAACAATTTCGTATAGTTCATGAGGGCAGGCTTCGTATAACTTTCAGACACGACTTGAAGGTAAGTAGAATTCCCAATACATATTCAGCCGATAGGTGTGATTTTGTCCCTGATCTCGATCTGAGCATGTTATTAATTCAATCCATCTTTTTTTTATGACTCTTCAGATACTGTCATGGGAGTTTTGTGCGCGGCGCCATGAAGAACTTTTGCTTCGTAGATTTGTCGCACCACAGGTGTGAAATTTGTCACTAGCCATGTGCAAAACACCTTAACTCCGTTTCCCTGCTTCGGTTTCTTTTCTCCTTTTTGTTGGGTTATGTGGGCAATTTCGGTTTATGCAGTGGTGGTACTGACATATTGTAGCTTGTCATCCACGAAGCTTTCTTTCTCAATTTATGCCATGAAGTTACACAGTTCATGAAACATATTTACGTTTTCAGGTTTTGTGGGATCCTGTCTCTAATTATCATGATTCTTTGTTGCTTCTTGATACTTTTATTTTTTGAATCACCTTAAATTGATATAGACCCTCAATTTTGATCTTTGCTCTGTGGACAGCTGAGTGTTTCATAACTACTGGCGAAAATATGATACTATAACAATATATGTGTGTTAGTAAATTTACTCTTATTAGTCATGCCGATTTTCTTTTTGGGTATGCTGAACAACATTTAAGTATCTATTATCTAAATGACTGCAGAATAATTTTCTTCGTAGAAGTGAAAGTACTTAATTTCTTGTGCACGTTCAGTAACAAACTAAAAAGTAAAGATGGGGATTCATTTGGTGGCCATTGTTTTTGGATGTGGGGATCATATGGGGAACCATAGAATACACCAGATATTGTTAGGGATGATATTATAGGTTCAAATCATTTCCGCAAGAAGGTGTCACTGTCATCTAGAATTTTATGGCCCCATCCATCTTCTGGTTAGTTTAGTTAAGTATGCTACACTGTGTGGATGCAGAGCTGCATGATCTAATATCACAGGTCGAAGTTGTTCTTAGTTCTTGGGAAAAAAAAAAAATTATTCTTATTTGCAGGTGAACCGGTTGGTTCAGGCTGCATGCAAGTATCAAAGTACCACTAACAACAGTGGATCGGATGGGATTTTGCAAGAGGATTTACAATCAAATGGCAATTTGTAAGTCAAGTAATTAAATGTTTACTTTTCTCATCTAAAGAGGAAAACTTCCCACCGAAGATTGTAATTCAAGCATGATTTTATTTGCATGGTACTTCCAAATGCTTGCAAACATTTCTGAATGAGTAGCTCCATCAACAAATTTGTGAAATTTTACTTCCTTAGCTTCTGTTGGCTCCAAAGGCGGCTAGTCCAAAAAGACTCAATGACCCATTCACTTAAACCAAACCAAACTAAATCAAGTCTTATGTCCCAATCATTTGGGGTCGACTGTATGAGTTCTTCTTTGCCATTCATTTCAATCATGCGCTATATACTTATTTAAGTTAAATATTTTCGTATTTTTTCATATTATTTCATTCAATGTTAATTTAGGTCTACCCTTACTTCTAGTACCATTAAGAGAAATTCTATCACTTTTTCGAACCGGTGCCTCTATTAGCTTACGTTGAATATGACCAAACCATCTTAATCTATTTTCTCTTAACTTATCTTCAATTAAAGCTACTCCTACAATTTCTCTAATATGATCATTTCGTATTCTATCCTTTCTAGTTTTTCTACACATCTACCTTTAATATTTTCATTTCCGCTACACTTATGTCACTATGTTGTTTCCAAGTTGCCCAATATTTCATCCTATACAACTTTACTGTCCTTATAGCTGTTCGGTAAAATTTACCATTCAATTTTATTAGTATCCTTCTATTACATAATATACCAGATGTTTTCCTTCCCTTAAGCCAATCGATGTTGATTCTATGAGTTACGTCATCTCTAATTTTTTCATCATTTTTAATGATCGATCCTAGATATTTAAATCGTTTACTCGTTGGTATTTTTTGATTTTAATCTTAACTTTTTTACTATGTCTACTTCTTCTATTACTAAAATTTCATTGCATATATTCAATCTTTCTACTATTTATTTTAAATCTTTTGACTCGAGTTTGTTTCTCTAAATTTTAGCTTATTGTTAATCTCTCTTCGAGTTTCTTCTACTAATACAATATCATCTACAAATAGCATACATCATGGGACATCATCTTGGATGTGCCTAGTGAGTTCATCCATAATTAGGATGAATCTGTATGGACTTAGGGCCGATCCTTGGTGTAATCCCATCCTGATTGAAAATTCTTTACTTTCTCTCATTGAATACCTAATTGTAGTCAATGACCCATTCACTTGATATTTCAAAACTTTTTTTACCAGGAGGTATATTTTGAAACCTAACCCTAAATGTTGCGAATGCTCAGTACCTAAGAAAATGAAATCAGTTATGAACAACATACTCAGAACTAGAAATAATGTAGAATTACAAAAATACCAGTGCTGTGGTTTGCAACTGCTGGGTCCAGGAGCATCCCAACCTCAAACTCTTTATGGTTTTGCTGTTTTGTGCTGCACAAAACAACCACATTTTAGCAGAACTCCCACCCAAAACCATGTGTTCCACCAGGCTAAGGGCTCCTAGTTTAACCTCCTATCTCCACTTGAACCCGAAGAACAATTCTTGGGAGGACTGGACCAAACTGTGGCGAGATACTTGGAAAAAGACACTGACCAGTTCTTGATTGTTCCTCTGGGTGTAGGCTCCTAACAGCTGGGCATCAGATTGCAAGGAACTTGGAGTTACCGATGGTGAATGACTTGGGATTTTCCAAAAGATATGTCAGGTGTTTGCAGGTACATTTTCGATATATCTTTATTAAGAGGGAAATAATAATCTGAAATGTCATATCTGTAATATTTCATTTACACAAGTTTATATTTCTCAATTGTATTGTGAAACAGATTGCTGAAGTTGTAAACAGCACGAAAGATTTGATGACTTTCAGCTGTGCCAGAAAAATGGGACCAATCGGTATGCTATTGGAAAAAGGAATGTATAGCTATTTGTTTTATATGATCTCTTAGGTTCAATTGTTATTTAAGATGGCTTGCAATTTAGGGCTTCCAAGTAGCCATCAGGCTCTAATTTTTTTCCAAAATTTCCTTCGGTTATCTGTGTTGCTTAATGGAAGCACATTTTATTAGCATTGGCATCCTCTTGATAAAATATTTAAGCCAGTTTGAAGCATTTGTTGGGATCCTTTAATTACTATCCTTTTGCCGTCATCCGGATCACTGTTAAAACTAAAAGTAGTGGCCCCAGTCATCTGTGAAATTACAATCTGATACCAACTCTTACTTGTAGAGAGCTTGAAAAATTATCCTCGAGAATGCACCACTCCCAATATTCGGACGAAGGAAACACCAGAAATGGAGCAGCAAGGGACTGCTCAAGTCTTGCTGACTGACAAGAATAAGTTGACGGCAATGCGTCCTGGTCCTATCAGCAACATAAACAGTATGTCTCCTGTAACTTGTGATGGAGTTTTATCTGGCTCAGGAGACACGGCATCGGCGCTGACCAATTATTTCCAGCAATTACGGAGGCAGGACTCTACTAAGCAGGACCAGCCCTGTTTGATGTCTTGTTCCAGCCAGAGTGCAGTCACTTCGTCAATTCTAGGTGCTCAATCCTCGAGTGGTGGACTGTTCCAAAACTCGCAGATTGATGGTTTCTCAAGTTCCCAGTCTTCTCAGGGCAGCAAATACTTACAGCAGAGTATGGCCGAGAATTTACTGCAGGAAATGGTGGCTAACGGCAGGGCAAAAGCAGTGCAGGATGCAAATGGCAATGTTACTGCAGATGTCCTTAGCAAGGTTAATGACAATGTTGTTGATGGTTTGACTGCTAAAGCCAGGTATACAGGTATGTCTGGCATTGGGCTCGGTTTTGGCATTAGCATAGTTGCTGCCACTGCTGCCCAGGCAAATGTGTTGGGTTGTGTCGTGGAAAGTACTGAAAACCTTCAGGCTGCCGCTAACAGAAATTCTTCCAGAGTATGTGGTAGCAGCATTTCAATCAGGAGAGAACCAGATCTTCCGGGGTTTCATATGCCCCAAGCACAGGATTTTGGCTCAAGGTTTTTCTAAGAATGGAGGTTTGAAATGGTAACAGGAAGGACATAGACTACAACTGGAAGGCGTAAATCAGTTTTGGTTTATCTTTTCATAGGATTGTCAAGAAGTTTTGTCTACACTCTACAGTTGACAGAATCTATAGTAGGGAATACTTGCTAATTTGATTTTCATCAGTAATTAAATTTTATCAGTGATCACATACCACACAAGTTCATTTTCTCCATCTCCGGAAGAATTTTCATTGAACATCAAACCTATTTCTGCCCAGAGGAAAATGACCAGCTCTATAATAACGAGTGAACCAGTGGGAACAAAAATATATCTCACTGCCTTACTTGAGTACAGTTGCCCTACTACGTAGTTTTAGACTCATTGAAGATGTCTCCTACCGGTAATTGCTACTAAAAAAGCTTCAACCTTTCTCTAAACTCACTTGGGTACACTAGTACAGAGTCCACACAGAGACCACCTTTAGTATGTGTGCAATCAATCTGGGTCATTGAAAAATTTGATTTTTGTTGTTGCAGAGGGATTTTCAACAACAAAATCTCCCACATGGTGATGAATCCATTTTCCAGGATCATTCAAAGAACACTGGGATATTGCCTTCTGACCATCCGAAGTTGAAAGCTGGAATTGAACGGGCTTTTTATCCCAACCATGGACATGCTCGGAGTTGCAGACTCGACGACCAAATCTCTTGCCGGCCCGTCCTAACTGCAGCCTGAAGAATAGACTATAGGTCCCTGATGGAAATGGGAACTCGACCTCTCCATCAACTTCAAACCACCAGATTTGCTGGAGATATGCAACTGAGCAGAATCTAGATGCAAGAGAAGAAATTTCTAATTTGTTTAACGAGTCTGTCACGCAGTGAAAACATTAATGAGGCGATGCTAATGTTGTGCCAACTAAAACTCAGAACAAAGGCAACACCAACAACACCACAGACCATCCTCTCACAACCTGGACACACATATGGTAACAACAACAGCAATGGCAAACATAACAATAACTCTTCCAAAAAAACTACAATAGACTGCCAAAACAAGAACCATAATAACTGTGAAGACGATGATTAACACACTCTTTCACAACAGACAATAGAAATGACCTATGCAGTACTTAAAATTATATTTGCCCACCATTGTCAAAAGAAGAACATGCCTCAAGACTGAAGTCCTTCAACAAGATCAGCTCCATTTATATATTTTTTTTTCTGATTTTCAAACAATCCACTTCTACAATCTAAAGAACGTCGTTTCTTCACCCCGCTTTTAGTAGCCTAGAATTGCATCCAAAGTCAGAATCTCATTCTGACAACAAATTCAGGTAGTCTTATGCATACATAGTTGAAATCCAGCTCCAACAACAAGAAAATCATCCAACACTACTTCCCAAAAAACAAAACACAAGGGCCTCTGTTACTTGGAGATGATATTTGAATCCAGATTTGCATAACGGATAGAAAGTTTTGATGAAAATTAATTTATTCCCTTTCGGCCCAGAAGAAATTAGTTCAAACCCAATTGCAGTAATCAAGATTTTACCTCCTAAGGCTCAATCACAGGCTTCAACCACAAAACCACATGCAGGGCATGTTAATTTAAACCTACAACATAACAAGATATGTACAAAAGCTACCATTTGGGGACAGATTTATATAACCAACCTGATGTAGATCGTATTAGGGAAGAATTAGGGATGAGAATGGAAGAAGAAAGGGATGAGAAAAGAATATGAAGGGGATGAGAATAGAGAGAGAATTTTAAGAACATTCAATATCAATAATCAATAATCAATAATCAAAGTCTAGTCCCTCAACAAATATGTATCTCTTATATATATAAGGAATTCACAAATCCTATATATATAAGGAGATCACAAACTCTAAAATAAATAAATAATCAAAATGACAATTAAACCCTTAAAAGTTAAAAAAATTACTTAAAAGCTAAATATTAAAAGTATCAAAATAATTATCATAATTAATCTATAATATCTATCCAATTCCTACACGATCCCCATCATTCTCCTTCGGTTGAAAAAAACTCTCCTCCAGAGAGTCTTCAAAGTAGAAGTACCCCAAGAAACAGGATGAAGATGACATAATGCCTCATTTAGAATGAAAGAACTATCGACTTCTTTCCATCGACCAGGATAAATGCAAGAATCTCCATCTGTATGAGCACCTGCGAATAAAATAGGAGGCTCTGGAGTACCTAGATTAAGCAGCATGTCCTTCCAATAAAAATCTAGATTAATACTAACATTCAATGAAAAATTAAGCAAATAAGCATTAGATCCAAACTCAAGAATAACAAAATAATTCCCATTATATTTGAACAAAGGAGTAACTATAACACCCTGGTGCTGAAAATAAGAAAGTACAGACTCAATTGAACACTTGACAGTAGGCAAAGAATCAAAGTTAACACTCTCAAGTGAGGCAAAATCCAGAACAATGTCAACAATCTCGGATTAGGAAGAATCTGTAACAAAGTCATGATGACTTGGACAAGTAGACATAGAATAGTCACTATTAGATTTTGTAATAAATGACTCGATTAGTTTAATATCTTGTATAGGTGTAGACTCAACAGACTTTTTCACAATTTTCAAGATCAATGATGGTTCAAGAATTGACACAAACAAAGACTTACACACACTTTCTTTCGAAATGGACTCTTGTGGGTGCAAATGAAGAAGACTCTAAAATGACAAAACTAAATGAGGGAGTTGGAAGTCTATATGAGTAACATTTTTCTCTTTATCTGACACTAAAATATCTAAATCCTTTGCCACATTCGAATTAGGAAAGCATGCAGAAACAACATGGACATCGTTTAAGTAATCATGATACTCATATGTGATGGAATTAAAATTGGAAGATGTCCTATCAGCAGGCTGTGATTGAGAACTCATCAAGGTATAGTTGGATTTCTTATGAAATCTCTCAACCTTTATAGCATATTGATAGGCTGCAACTAACGTATTAAAAGTGTATTGTTTAACCTCCCTACTAATTTTTTGTCTCAACCTAAAAATAAACTGATCAATTGTCCGAGGTTCTTCAATAATGTTACACAAGTACATGAGATAATCAAACTGGGCAAAGTAATCAGAGACACTACAAGAATGTTGTCTAAGATTGAGCCATTGGTCATAAACTTGATCCATATAGGAAGTAGACAAATACTTCTCTTTCAATTTATATCTCATTTTAACCCAAGTGATACATGATTCTCCTAAAGGGTCTAGGCTTCTTTGGATTGTTTGCCAATACTTCTTAGCGGAACCCTCCAACATCAATTGAGCAAAACAGACGCAATGGGAATCCGACATACCATGACAATCAAAATATTCTTCTAAATTTGCTAACCAATCCAAGAATTGATTGGATCCGGAGTACCACAAAATGTAGAAGGATCTTTGATTTGTTTGGTCATATGGGTTGACTCCATGTAAACATTCTTTGACTTCCTATGATGATGACATTGAGAAGAGATTCTTGAAACATGCGTATTAGAGAAACTCATGAGTGACTCTTGGAACAAGGGAATGACGCCAAAACAAGTTCAAGAATGTAATTGACAACTAAACTCTTAAAAGTTAAAAGAAATTACTTAAACGATAAATATTAAAAGTATCTAAATAACTATCATAATTAATCTATCCAATTCTTACACGATCCTCATCATTCTCTTTCGGTTGAAAAAAACTCTCCTCTGGAGAGTTTTCAAAGTAGAAGTACCCAAAGAAAAGAGAATGAATATGACATAATGTCTCATCTAGAATGAAAGAACCATTAATATCTTTCCATCGATCAGAATAAATGCAAGAATCTCCATCTGTAGCAATGTAATTCTGATCACATAACACATCATCTATTTGCCCTGAAATACGCGAGGGAAGCGGAAAGATAAGAGCTGGAGCTAATGCTGAGGAATAAGCAATTCCACTTGTAGAAACACTTGATAACAAAATAGGAAACTCTGGAGTACCTCGATTAAGTAGCATGTCCTCCAAATAAAAATCTAGACTAATACTAACATTCAATGAAAAATTAAGCAAATAAACATTTGATCCAAACTCAAGAATAACAAAATAATTTCCATTAGATTTGAACAACTGACATTCAACGGGACAAGACATCAATGACAAAGGAGTGATTATAACACCTTGGTGGTAAAAATAAGAAAGTACAGACTCAATTGAACACTTAACAATAGACAAAAAATCAAAGTTAATAATCTCAAGTGGGACAGAATCTAAAACAATGTCAACAATTTCAGGTGGAGAAGAATCCGAAAAAAAATCAATAATCTCAAATGAAGAAGAATCCACAACAATGCCATCATGATTCGGAATAGTAGAGATAGAATAATTACCAACAGATTGTAAAATAGATAGTTCAATATGCTCAACATCTTGCATAGGAACTAACTGAATGAATTTTTTCTCAAGTTCAATACTTAGTGGTGATTCAACTTTTGGCACCGATGAGATAGAAAACATGATAGGATCAAAAATAATCTCATCACTTGTATCAATGCTCAAACGATTGAAAGCATGTTTTGAAAGATGTAAAGCATGAGGGTCCAATGGAACAGAAATATCACTATCATTATACAGGTGTCCGACATTAGGTGAAACTGAAGATTTATCCTTATTTTCTTCCACTTGCTGACTTGCAAGAATTTTATTCAAGTGGGAAAGTTGACTTGTTAATTCAGATAATTGATTTTTCACCCCTCTACATTCTTCATGTAATTGGCCGAGTGAATGTTTAGTGTTGGTAACTTCAATTTCAAAGATCTCAACCTTTTTTCTTAGGGCAATTTGGGCTTTTGAATGATCACTAATAACATTGAAAATTGATCCAGATTGACCTTGATGACGACTTTGGGAAGCATGATGTTGGTAACTGTTATGTGACCAAAGTGTCCTAGAGTAGTATTCTAGATAATCTTCATAATAAAATTTAAACTTATTATGGACTTTATGATGCCTCCGAAAAGCTCTAAGAGTGGAATAGATATAGTGATGACATTGTGGAGAACAATGAACTTGAGACATTCTTGATGTTGGATAAGTATATGAATAGGCATTATAATGATCATATGAACTCATGATTGACTTTAAAAGATGAGAATAACATAAGAATGAGTTCAAGAATGCAATTAATAATTATGAGAAATGAGAAAACTTAAATAGAAGAAAATTTGTTTTGGATCCTTTGCAAATTCTCTAATTTTTCAATGAATAAAAATATTAGTCTCAAATTTCATGGGAGTATGCATGCCATAATCAAGAAAATTTTTTGAAACTTTTAGGGATGATTCTACAATTTTTGAAACATCTGAGGGAAAATTCTACAATTTTTAAAACTTCTGGTGGTAGTTCTGTAACTTTCTGGGATATTTCTGTAATTTTTGGAACAACTAAGATTTTTCTGTAATTTTCTAAACCTGGGACAATTTTTTTTCTTTCACTGATGAACAGTGCGATAAATAGTAACTTCGTTTTTTTTTTTTCAAATCGAAGTTAGGCTCTGGTACCAAATTGATGTAGATCGTATTAGGGAAGAATTAAGGATGAAAATTGAAGAAAAAAGAGATGAAAAAAAAAGAAGAAAGGGATGAGAATAGAGAGAGAATTTTAAAAAGAACATTCAATATCAATAATCAATAATCAAAGTCTAGTCCCTCAACAAATATGTATCCCCTATATATATAAAGAATTCATAAATCCTATATATATAAGGAGATCACAAACCCTAAAATAAATAAATAATCAAAATGACAACTAAACGCTTAAAAGTTAAAAAAAATTACTTAAAAATTAAATATTAAGAGTATCTAAATAACTATCATAATTAATCTATAATATCTATTCAATTCCTACACGATCCCCATCACAACCCCAAACAATTAGGATATAAAGCTTGGTTTGGTTGGTTGGGATAGTTAATTGCAGCATCGCATACAAAGAATCATATACTACACAGGAAAAGACAGAATGTAAACAAATGACATCCTTTAGGAGGATTGTAACCAAGAAATGCCCTGAACAGTTGAATTTGATCGGCCAATCTAAACTTCGTCCATAAAAGAAATACAACTCTTGGTTTCATTAAATCCAAAACATAAACAAAACAACGTTTGCAGTTACTCACCTCGATTCCTCAGTTGTAATTCGTCTCCAATATCTCCTATCATCAATCCTTGTTATTGCCAACCCATTTGACGAAATTGATAAACAAATTACTCCGGTAGTCTTATCCAACCAAACTTTCTGCAAATAGCCCATCAACAAACCCATCAAAAAAAATTATCAATTACAGATCATAAAGTCATTTATTCTTCTTCCTATTTAACAATGGGGTTGAAAAATCTCTCAAAAATCTAAGAGCCGGTTTGGCATCATTCTTTACAGCTAGTTCTCAATTTACACAACAAAACATCATCAATGACAAGTCATAAGAGTTTTCTTTTTTTTTTTTCTTTTGTCATTCCAACAAAGAACATATCTAGATTTTTTTTCCCCAAAACCCCTTCATCCAAAATTAACCCAAACGCCTCTTTGTTTGGGTCTTCCTCCAAAACAGTTTTGGCTTGCTTCTGTTTGTTCAAAAACACAAAACAATACCAAGAGACCGAGAAAAGTACCAATATATAACAGGGAAAAGAGGAATTTAGAATAAAAATCACACCTTTGTGCCTCCATCAATAGAATTTGGTCGACAAAGCCTGGCATAAATATCTCTTTTACACAATTTCTCAGGAAAATCATCAAACACTCTTTTAATTACAGACCCATAATTCAAAGGCAATTTTGATTCCCAAACAAAATCTGCTGATGAAGCACCTCGAAAGGCCCTGTTTAGAATAGCGAGTCTGCAGATCTCAGGTGGGTCTAAGTATACAAGAACTGACGCCACACAGCTCTCCGGCAAATCCCCAAGGCTGGGATAGGAAGACACAGGAGCTGTGTCGGTGAAGAAAGAAAATGAAGAACCCATGATGAATGGTACCCAGTCTCAAGGATTTTGATGGGTTTTGGAGAGGAAATTGAGAACTTAAATTGTCTGTAATGTAAATAAATGGATATAGAGAAACCTCGAGAGGAAGAGGGGAGAGAGAGAAAAAGTTGAAATATTGGTGATTGGTGGCAAAAGCTAGTTTTATAGATGGACGCTTACGCAGTGGAGAGAGAGAGAGAGAGAGAGAGAGACAGAGAGAGAGACAGAACAGATGGAAACATGTAGTTATAAATTAGTTACATTCTCTGGCGCATTTGAATGGTAATTCAATCTATGTTATTCTATATTTTTTTTAAAATCAAATTATAAAAAAATTATCTCTTATAAATATTTCAGTTTCAACATAAATAATTCATTTTTCACATGTCAAAAAAAAAATAATCGAAATGATTCAAACACCCTTAACCGTTATAAGATTCATAATAGTATGTAATCTCTTTTGCATTTGACTAACCATTCGTTGTTATAAATAATCATAACAAATAAAAATGATTTTTTTACTAAAAAACCACCAAAAAAGAGAGAGAATAGAGGGTGAAGTTTTATGAATTAAGCATAAAACCTATAATATCTTAAAACAAATATCTAAAAAAAAATGTATTCTTTGACTCTAATTACATGAAAATATGTTGTGAAAAAGGAAAAAAATATCTAATAATGTGTAGACAAATATAAAAAATAGATCCTACACAAATTAATAATTCCTATCTATTTAAACAGATGACTATTCACTTATTATCCATATAAATTAATAATTATTTAAGTAAAATTTATTTTATTTAAATAAAATTTTATTATTAATTAATAATGTCATGTCGGGTGATATGGTGTATTACCAATATTCTGTCGTGAAAAAGACAAGAAGATACATGCCAAGCCACCTCAACAAGCCGTGCGTGGGAGTCAGCAAAACTTTGTCGACCAACTCGGATCCGGCTCCTCTGCTGTTCCTTTAAACGGCACCGTTGGTGCCTTTTTTAATCACCTTCAAATGAAACCAACAAATAAGAATTATAATTACCTGCCTATTGGTCAAAATTATAAATTTTTCAAGTAAAAGTTTTACATTAGAAAAACATATGATTAAAGTTTATATTCAATTACATTTATTTTTGAAATTAATTAGATTACCAAAAAATTATTTTTTTGGTATAATATTTTAACTTTTCTAATGAAAAAAATATGACGCGTTCAAAATTTTCATATTATATGACAAAATGAAGAATTATGACAAAATATCGTATCATATTTTAACTTTTCAGCCAATAAAAATGTGGGATATATAAAATATTTATATTTTATTTTTATAACACATATTTGAATCCATTAAAAATAAAAAATAAAAATTCAACTGATCTGAGTAAATTTGCCAGACGAAAAGTAAATTTAATATATTTCAAATTTGATTCTGAACATTAATCGATTATATTTCAGTTTACGATTTTGGATATTGGATATATCTAAATTTTATTACGATTGTTATCCGGCCTGAATTATATGTATAAAATAAAATAATTATCTGATGAGATTGTGTCAAAATTATGATGTAATTTGCAAAAAATTTATTTCAAAGTTATTCGGATCAGATTGAATTTTTTATTTTAACAGATTAAAATTTGAATTTTTTATTTTAACGAATTCAAATATAATTTTTTTATGATAATAAATTCAAATATGTGTTGTAAAAATAAAATATAAACATTTTGCATATCCCACATTTTTATTGGCTAAAAGTTAAAATATGATATAATATTTTGTCATAATTTTATATTTTGTTATATAATATGAAAATTTTGAACGCGTCAAATTTTTTGCACTAGAAAAGATAAAATATTGTATCAAAAAAATAAATTTTTGGTAATCTAATTAATTCCAACAATAAATTTAATTGAATATAAACTTTAATCATATGTTTTTCTAATGTGATTACGATTTCTATTTGCTGGTGTTGAAAAATTTATAATTTTGACCAATAGGCATGTGATTACAATTTCTATTTGTTGATGTCATTTGCAAGTGATTAAAAAAGGCACCAAACGATGCCGTTTAAAGGAACAGCAGAGGAACCGATTCCCGACCACCTCATACCGTGGTGTCCCCACATTGGTACATGTGCCACAAGGTCAGCATGTCTACCCTACCCTCATGCATGGATTAGGCAGGACTAGAGTATAGGGTCACTATTACAAGCGTTATAATTGGACTTTTTTTTTTTTTTTTTGATATTGAAAAGGAAGGGGCGGAGGTGGAGTTGGGGGTGAGAGTAAGGAAGAGTACTCAATGATCACCTTGATAGGTTCTTATCGATGAGATTATGAAATCCTTGATCGTGCCTATAACATTTCGAGCCTAACTAGGCTAATATAGTGACTAAGCACCAAACTCTAATGAGGAATCCAAAACTCAAACTCTCAACATTAAAATGAGAATTAAGGTCGGTACCTTACTAAACCATCCAACTTTGTGGTTTATAATTAGGCTAATTAGTTGATGCTCCATAGTGTTAATTTTTTCTAGATCACACATTAATATGACTCAAATTTGATACAATTTTATTAAGTTAGGATTAAATAATTCATGTTATGACATGCTAACTCGAATTATTTATTTATGAGTCATACATTACTATAAGAATTAGAGTCTTTTAAGATAATTTTTTTTTTTTTCGCAATGTCTATGTTTGTTGTCATAAAATTTAGAGGTCGCCCCACTTATTAAGGCAATACAACGCCGGCACAAAAAATATTTAAAGCGATAAATGAACTCTTTATTATAATATTTGACTGTTACAAATTTTTTTTTTTCTTGTAGTATAAATAACTCATTTGACATGATCAACTCTTTTAACTGGCATTGTATGAACATAATTGAATATATATATATATAATTTTTAGCTTGATTTTGTAAAATTAGATATATATATATATATATATTATCATTTTAATGTTTGACAACAACTATGATTAAGCATTGAATATAATTAAAAATTTACTCAAATATTTAGATAAATAAATATTTAAAAAATCCTGTTAGACCCCGACCCTGACCCCATCCCCATCCCCGGGTTGTGGTGGAGCGGTGATAGTTATAGTGGTGGTAGTGACAACTGATGATAATTGAGAATGAAAAATACTATTAAATATTGAAAAATAACAAATCCTGTGCTGATGGGATTAAGCATTCCATAGGAATGGGAATGAATTTTTATTGTTACATACAAAATATTGAAATGAACATTATTAAGTAATGATCATTTTATTCTCATACTTCATTATCGCCTATCAAATACTCTAAGTTTGATTCTATTAAGTGGTTGCGGGTAAGAGTGTCAACCGTATATCGTGTTGTGTGACACACTTGTTATGTATTTTCGTATTGTATCATTGTCATTTATGTCATGTTCGTGTTAAGACTTACAAAAATAAAAATAAAAATTATTTAGTGTGTTTTGAGTATTAAACATAATTTGAACTATTTATTACTCGTATCTAATAATCATGTCAATTTTATAATCATGCGTGTCGAGTTCATGTCGAATTCATATAAACGAGTCAGAGTTGACACGCCTAATTGCATGTCATTAAAAAACTTTTTTTTTTGTTACTGTTTTCGGACATAACACAATGTAAATAGACAACAGTCATTGAATGTCCATTTTATACTTGGCATTTGTTGGAGTATAGATAGTCTAGGTTTATTAGGATTTATTTTCCCTTTTTTACCCTTACTAAGATTTTTATATTTTGCCTAAACTATAAGGATGTTTAAGTCACTCTGTATTATTTTTGGATATATATACGGGGCTCTACTCTTAATTTGAGTATCCCTTTTTCACACACATTCATTCCAAGTTGGTATCAAAGCCATACCCTAACCCTAACCTCACCATCAATCAATAAAACCAGCAACACCGACAAGCACCCAGCGGACGAAGAACTGCCTGCCCATCACCGACAAACCCATAACACCAACAAACACACTATCACCGATAGCTTCAACACCAAACCAGCCTCCACCGACAATAACCTAGCGATAAACCCACTGCCCCAAGACTACTTCGTCCTCCACCGACTTCATAAACCCGAACAATAAACTGCCTAGTCCCACCGAAAAACAGACCTAGTCTAACCACCGAAAAATAGACCAGCCACCAAGACCCAGCCGAACAACAGACCAGCCGAATGCCCAAACGCAACCGACTGCCCAAACCAAGTAACCGACTGATAAACACGACATACTGATAAACACGACATACTGCCCAATAACCACACCGACTGCCTCCATATCACCAACCACCTAGCCTACTGTTGGGTCACTGCTCAGCCCACTGCCGGGTCGTGTTTCTCGTTTTAACTTCATCCTTTGCACTCTTCGTCATAATGCTACCAGGTTGCAGTATTTTTTTTTTTTATGAGGGGTTAAATCTTCTTCTCCGTCTGTTGATCTGCTCTTGATGCAGTAGATCATTTATATTTATTGGATTTCTGGGCACCGTGACTTGATTATTTGGGAGCTTTTTGGACCTTCCTTATTTGTCGCTACTGTTCGACTGAAGGTATATTGTTCTCCCTTATTTTATTCCTCTATTTATCTTAGAGTTATTTTTCTGTCACGGGTGCCCTAGTATTGTTGTTGATATGGCTACTACTGAGGGACTTGAGAACCCTACTGTTGACACCTCTACCGTTGAGACATCTATGGGTACTTCCACTTTTATGTTTGACCAGTATACAGTGCCTACTAGCACAGTTGCATTACCAGCATTACCGGGCATGATCTCTCAAAAAGTTACGGCACAATTGTTGAATGGTCGTAACTTCGCTGAGTGGTCACGCTCATTCCAGCTTTTCTTAGGCCGTGTAGGGAAGCTTGGTTGGCTGACGGGATCTCACCCAAAGCCAGCTGATGCCGACCCTGGATATTCTGCGTGGTTCTCTGAAAACTGTGCCATTCTTGGATGGTTATTTGGCTCAATGGAGCCCTCTGTTTGCAAGATCCACCAGTTTCATAGCTCTGTTCCGAAGCTATGGAGCGCATTATCAGAGATGTATTCTCAGTCAGGACGGGGAGTTCGTGTTTATGAGCTTTCTCAGGAGCTCTCATATGCTCGGCAGGGAGATATGACCGTTCAGGATTATTATGGCTATTTGACCCAGCGCT